GTGTGTGTGTGTGTGTGTTGTGTGTGTGTGTGTGTGTGTGTGTGTGTGTGTGTGTGTGTGTGTGTGTGTGTGTGTGTGTGTCATTGCGTGCGTGCGTCCGTGCGTGTGCGTGCGTACATATTATATATATATATATATATATATATATACGGCAGAGAAACTCTGGTTTACGACTGCCAGCCCATGGTCGTGCGCTGGAGGGAATATGGGGCAGTTTACTGCCGGACACAACACCGGCTGCTTTCCACCCATCCATCCATCGATCCGATATATCGATTGAATTCTATCTATTAAGTGCGCTCGGCAGCACTGCCTGGAATATCATCACAAACGCTGTAATTAACGGTAAATGACTGCTTCTAATGGCGTGTCGTTAGGGGCTGGGGGTCCCTCTAGCTCGCCCTGAGTGCGCATGCGAGCGCCTACCCGCGCAGATGTAACTGTAGGTACAGTACACGAACGACGATGACGACGACGACGACGACGATGACGACGACGATGACGACGATGATGACGACGACGACGATGACGACGACGACGACGCCGCCGACGACGACGACTCTTGCAATCCTCGTAGGGTTTGAGATGATATTTTTTGACAACCCGCTGCCTACCCCTGTTTTTTACCCTTGTCTTTTAACGTTTAACTTTACCCTTGTTATCGCGCGCGCGCACGCCATTCTCGAGCTGAACTTCCGGTGCGGTCGACGCGCCCTCTATATTTTATCCAGCTGGCTATATTGTGTTTTTTTCGTTTTCGTTTCTTTACACACGATCAGAAAACCGTCGATTCATAAGGTTTGTCGGATTATGTTTGGTTTTCGGTTGCGGTTATTTTTCCGGTAGCGTCGGCAACCCCCTCCCCCCCCCCGCCTCTGGAATCAATAAGAAGATGCGACAACAGAGTGAGTGAGTTCTTCGCATCTTCTGTGAGAGATCGTCAACGAGGGAGCTCCTCGTTGCTGGAAGAGCAGTGATTCTTGCATGAGGAGAGATAGCGCGACTGATGCTGTTCTGATCCCTGTATATCTCTGCATGTACGATTGAATACACGCGAACGTGGCTTTACAGGGCCGTAGGCTGAGCAAATTCTTAGGGGAGGGGGGGGCAGTGGCGGGTCCAGGATTTCAAGGAGGGGTGAGAAACAGGTGGGGGTCTGGGGGTCCTCCCACAGAAAACTATGAGAATGTAGATCGCATGAGATGGTAATTGAGGCACTTTTGACGTACAGCATTCATTCTGACTACGACAATTCTCTTTTAGTAGAACAATTTATTTTTTACATTTTCCTCAAAAATCTATGCCCCCCCCCACCCCGCCCCCCCCCCCACCCCGCCGCCGCAGGCTACGGCCCTGCTGTAGAAATTGTCGCGCTGCTCGTAAACGGGAGAAACAGACAGAGGCGCGGGTTGCGACTCGTGTAGAATGTTTATGGGGGTTCGTGACCGGACGGGCTAGCTGTTATATGGTGTGTGGGGAATGGGTGGGCCTGCCTGCCTCCTTGTTTTCTTGCCTGCCTGCTTGGCTGTTTGTCTGCTTGCCTGCCTGCCTGCCTGCCTGCCTGCCTGCCTGCCTGCTTGCCTGCCTGCCTGCCTGCCTGCCTGCCTGCTTGCCTGCCTGCCTGCCTGCCTGCCTGCCTGACTGCCTGACTGCCTGCCTACCTCCCTGCCTGACTGCATGCCTGCCTGCCCGCGTGCATAACTGTCTGTCAGTGTTGACGTATTATGGTTGTGAAATACAGTTTAGATAAATCAATACGTTACTTTATGGGGGGATATACTTAAAGGGGCATCAGCTCTAGTTGCCTGAATAGTTTTTTCTACGTCTAGACGTGCGTGTCTGGTTTATTCAATTCTATAGGCCATCTGGACACATAGTTATACACATAAGTATACAATTCTAGATTCAAAAAAAAGTGTTACTCGTACCCTGGAAAGCTTAGCGAAGGAGCCATTTGCATTTCGCATTTGAATTTTATATTTCAGACTGAATATCTTTTATCCTTCGTTTTCGTCGTCTAAATACGCATATATACGAGAATATATTTTCTCCTTCGTTTTCGTCGTCTAAATAAGCGTACGAGATTCGGTTAAACGTTGGTAATTTAGCGTAGGGTAGTCGCGTAAATTAATTGAATATCTTATGACTATCAGAGAGGCAACATGCGTGAATGGAGAGCGAGCATGCATCGCAACAAATCACACATCCTCAATAATTATTGTTTAATTGCGCTGGCCAGCCGATATAACCACCAAATTTTTTCATGATTTAACAGTACGTAAAGCCACGGTCCCTATTGTCTAGACGTCAGCCCGTCAATATATAATTGCTTTCATGGGCAGAGGCCTGATTGAATTATTCAAAAATCTATTCAGCCTGGCCGCCAAAATCTGAAAACCTAATCTAAAACACGTCAAAAGGCATTGGCGAAACAGAAGCACAGCTGAACGATCGCCGGTGGGTTGGACGCACCAGCGTGAAAGCTGTAGTTCTCAAACATGGTCCTGTACAAGGCCGCAGCCTGCGGGGGGGGGGGGACAGCTGCCCCCTAGATTTTGGAGCAAAATAAAAACAAAATGTTCTACTAAAAGAGAATTGTCGTAGTCAGAATGAAGGCTGTACATGTACTCAAACGTGCCTTATAAATACCATCTCCTGCGATCTACCTTTTCCAAATTTTCTGTGGGAGGACCCCCAGACCCCCCATCTGTTTCTCACCCCCTCCTTGAAATAATGGATCCGCCACTACCACCCTTAGGAATTTGCTCAGCCTACGGCCCTGCGTTCTAAAACAAAGTCCTGTACCGTATCAAGAGTACATAATAGAGATGTACTCTTGATAAATAACATCTTGATAAATAACTCTTGATAAATAACTCTACATAATGTATCTCTATTATGTACTCTTGACCGTATCTATCTGATACACGCACTTTTTTTGTAAATGAATGCTTTTGCGGTGACACGTACTGTCCCGCATTAATCATGGGATGTACCGATACCATGCGTTATATATAGCTTGCAAAAAGCCTTTAATTCAAATACCAGAAGAAGTGCTATTATAACTATATGTACGCGAATCATCAAAACAGCTGTAGAAACTCTCTAACTCTAAACTCTAAGTGGTAAAAAGTTCGTGCTGCGTATATTTTTTTCGATCGTGGAAATAAAATAGAGAAAGGCGATCGAGAGTGTCCACTTGGGGTAGTATTTTAAACCATCGTTGGGCTGCGGGCACTGGAGCCGTGCAACTAACTGTACATAACGTAACACGGTGAAATAATATAGCAGCTAGATTCTCTCTCTCTCTCTCTCTCTCTCTCTCTCTCTCTCTCTCTCTCTCTCTCTCTCTCTCTCTCTCTCATGTCTCCTCTTATCTTTCTATCTCTCTCTGATCTGTCCGTCTATCTTCATATCCTTCTGTCTGTCGTCTCTCTCATCTCTCTCTTATGTAATATATATATTATGTATAATATATAGTATATATATTGAGAAAGAAGTAGCAACAGTGGGAAAGAGAGGTAGAGAGTAAGGTTAGGTAAAGCGATGAGAACAGGAAAGACAGAAGACTGTAGAGTAGAGCAGAGAGAGACGGAAGAGAGAGCAGAAGTAGAGGTGAAAAGAAGACGATTGAGAAATGCGTAGAAAGAAAAGAAGGAGGAGAGG